GTTAAGATGTCTATGTCGGTTTGCTGATTTTCTGTTTATTTACATGTCATATTTATAAAGGTAATATTCTTTATGCATGAATTCAAATTTAAAATGTTGATGTTGGTTACGTCATTTTCTGGAAACAAAGTGGTGTTCACTGGAAACATAGTAGTGAGGAGAAAACCGTATTTTTTTCCCATCTCTGCAGTTTTGCCAGTGTTTACTACTTCTAATGCTTTCATCTACACCCAGTTTGTCTTAAGAGAAACATACATAAAACAGAATTTAAGGCAATTCTATGCACAGGTTATTCTTGCTCCAGTTCCCATTTTGCACCGTTTTCAGTGTATCTATGAAAGCCATTTGGGCTGGTGTATAGTGCTGCCTGCAAATTTCAGTAGTTGTAGATAGAGCATTTGCTTTTAGTTTGGTTTCTTAAAGGGACCGAGTTTATGCAGTTGTGTTCTGCATCACCTCTGCCATTTCCCTGGTAGCTTTAAAACCCATGGGCCGTTTTCATCTTAATGTGAGGGTAGGCAGAAGTCTCAAAGATAACGTCACTCCTCACAAATGGCAGCTAGTTAATGGAGAGAAACTCAGCTTATTGCCTTCACTGAAAAAGGGCCGAATTTATCTGCTCCAAAGCTGGCTGCGCAGCACAGCTTCCCGTTCGTCACGTCGTTCGCTGCCTCTTGCCTAGTGAGGGAATGCCTTAAGGAACTGGGGGGAAAGGAGGAAAGCTGGACTTGTGGTGGTAGATAGAGTGGGAAAAGGAGACAGAGCCTAGAAATCCTTTGAAAAACAGACTTCGTTTGTTGATCCTGTGAACCAGTCACTTGAGTAGACATAGTAGCAGTATATTTGGGATGTTTTCTCCATTAAGGTTTTGCAGATAGAAACCCTGTTGTAATGCTGCCTGACTCCTTTGTCCAGTCAAGGCTCTCGTAACCAGCTGCACTTCCAACACGTTGCTTCTGTCAAAAGAAATGTGACTTTTTAATGCAAGGAAATAAGCTGTTACTTGCTGCAGAAGGTTAGAAGATACAAGGTCGTACTTGCATATAAGGTCAGCGTCTGTACTATGCACCCTTAATCTAACCACGTCACTCTTACCTTGCAGTAAAACTACATTTTTGCAGATTCATAGGATTTCATATTATCTTGTGGAGAAGTTGACCTTTTTTAGAAGTACAGATGAGGTTACAGCTAAATTAGGTGAACTGATGGTGACAATAGAACAGTTTTAAATAAAAGTGAATTTACACATAATTTTCAGAGATTATTTTTTTCAGGCAGAATTTTACACAATTTTTCAGAAAAAAAAATTAATTTTAAATTTTGACTTCTGTTCCTCTATCTCTGTTCCAAAATGAATAGTTTGAAATGTGTATTTTATTTTTTTCTTAGTCATAATTAAGTCTTTATTGCTTCATTTTTATTTCAAAGACAAACTTGGAGACATTTAACCTAAAAGATGCCTTCCTAAAAAGAATTTAAAATGCATAAAATAAAATTCTTGAAAGAAGTTTTGCAACCTTTGTTATAGCCAAGGTTAATACTTACTGGAATTTATAGGTTGTTAACTAATATGTGTGATTGCTATAAAATAACCATTGCAACTGCTCCTTTAAAATGAATCTCAATACTTTAAAATAATTAAAATAACAAATCCTGTTAATAGGAACAGGTTGTGCTTCTCCCCTGTAAAATCTGAAAAACACCAATGCCTCTCTTCAGAGAGAGAGTTTAGTAAAACTTGGAGGAAGGAAGACTTGTATATGTTATGGTTTGGTTTGGTTTGATGTTGAAAACTGTGCTGTGGCTTTGTTTAAGCTACAACAATGAAGCCTGAAACAACAGCAGAAGGAGAGGTGTGAATTCAGCTCTCCCGTCATCATTATCATATATGCTTTTACTCTTGAAACTTGTTTATCACCACTTTACTAGCCCAGTTAATTGCTTCATTGCTTTGCAGTGAACTCTTATATTGGGCAGAGCTCCTTATTCCTAACACTCTACTTCAAGAAATAAAATCCTTTAAAAATGGATGGTTTTGTAGCATGGCTTGTATGTGATTTTGATCTCAAAAGGCGTACTCTTACATAAATTCTTTATTAGACAGAGAAGTTGAAGGAAGCTAGCATCTTTAGTATATGAATATTTGTCACCAGGGTAGCAAAATGTGTAGTTAGCATGGGAAAGACCTTGTCCTTAGAGTAACTTATATTTTTACAATCATCCTGAAATTGTACCATACTTAATGAAAATTGGTCAGTGCTAGATAGGATCTCTTTGACATAAATAGGGATGTAAAGTGTGATTGAAGTTTAAGAATACAAAAAGGAACCCCTACAGACTAAGGTTCTCAGATACTCGTAATAATATTTCCAATTAATGTGTTACTGTGTTAAAAAAATCTTAAAGGACTACGCAGAAGGGATCCTTTCATACACTTATCTTGTGCACTGACAGCCTCAGTCTTTAATGTAATTTTCTTAGTAGTATGTGTGAGGTGTGCAGAAGTAGCAATACCTCTAGCCTATAGGAGGGGAAATTCGTACTATACTTAAAGATAAATTTGAGTCAAGAGCCAAATCCAAAAGGAGCAGAGCCGCCTTGGTACTCAAAGCTGCGGTTCCTCATGGCTGGGTGTTTGCTCTGAGCATGGGATTCACAGATCAGCGTTAGATACCCAGGTTTCCTCTCTAGGTGGAAGGGATGGAGGCCAAGAATTTTGGAAGGCATTTCAGTACTGCTCAGAGAGAGAAAAGCAGGACCTTCCCTTCCTCTGCTCTTTCCTTGCTTGTGTATTCTCCCAAGCTGTCAGGGCTGGGGCAAACTCAACTGGGAAAGAGATTTGTAAAACAGTTTGGGGAAGTAGGGAGATTTTAATTTTTCATAACCAGTCATTGGGCAATAGGCATAAGTAGCCCTTGGAGCTATATCTTTCCTTTTTTGCAAGTACCTCAACTATTAGACTGTCTCTTTCATGTTCTCTTCATGGACCACTAGAGCTTAATCTTTCTTTCATTCTTCTTTTCCTTCCTTATGGAAAATGGTTTGTAAGTTACTGGCTAGAGGACAGGTATAGGGCTGAACTTCTTCAGGTGAGGGGAAGAAATAAGCTTGGCTCTGTTGTGTCCTGAATAAGTGCTTTATGGTGGGTAGTGGAAAACAGACACCACTGCAATTATTTTTCCTTATTGAACGCGAGTGGTGAGTGCCACTCCGTTCTGTGCAGAATGTACGCGTGTGCAGTCTTGAGGCTGGCAATAGCTCTAGTGAGGGTGTGGTCCAGCAAAGTGCTGGCTTAGAAAGTTTTTTCATTCTCCATACTCGTTTGTTGCTTCTCCAGTTCTATCTACACAACTCTTTGTGAGGTTGTAATGTAAATCAAATCCCTGATATCATGGGGTTTTTTTCTGTCATTAATGGGGTTAATTTGAGGAATCTGGGTTAAAATATGGTTCAACCAAAAAAAAACCCAACCCGTGTCATCACAATTGAGGATGTGATAAATTGTTATAGGGAACAAGAATTTCCTAAGCATTTTCTTGTTGACCAGCATCCTGTTCTTTCCACTTCTTGTTTGTTTTGCGGGGTTGCTGGTGTAAGAGTTGCTTTCCCCGAGTACTTCCTGCTCATTCACTGTGAGAATGCCACCCAGTTTTGCCTATGTAATGCTTTTTATGGTTACATTTTTCACATCTATGAGTTCCTTGATAAAGTTTCCAGAATGGCCACAAAAAATACTTGTTCCAGCCTGTCAGAGGGCCGGTGGTGGAGCAGAAGTGACTCACGGGGGGTGAGAAGTTGACAGAGCTTAAGTAAATGGCTAACCACAGCTTCAGAGAGCACATTTAAGATAAAGTCCTCCAAGGGAAGCAGATAGGCAGGTATCTCATTTCTGATCCATTAATAGATTAAGGTTTGAATTAAATGCCAAATTGCTTGGCCTTTTTAGCTATCTGGGCACATGGGGAAAAAACCAAAACCAAAAACACACAAACAAAAACCCTTTATGGAACATTTTCTGCTGAAAGTTTAGACTTTGATTTTGAGGAGCTCTGTCTTGAAATGAGTATCATAGGCTAAGGACTGAGCTAAGTCTCTTGGTAGATTTAGCCCTGAGCATGCTGCCTGAGTTTATGACATCTTTGTGAAAGCAGGCGTCTGGATGCAGATCTTGTGAATCCATGTCCTTCCAAATATTATGGTAGGTCCAGAGTATTTTATAAGTTGCCTGCATTGTAGTCAGTGAAAGAACTGTGAGCAAGAAAAGGTGCTTCCCTCAGTGTACATAATTAGGATTCATCTCCTTTATGTCCTAGGCCCATGCATTTCTTTTACATTTTCTGTGTTCTTTTTTCCCCAGCTGCTACGTGTATGGACAGGAATAATTTTTCTCCCCATCCACCCTTGCTTTTCCCCTGTGTTGGCTTCTACTGTGCTAGATCTCATTTCAGACACATAAGGCTTCATGCAGTAGGAGTGGTAGTATATTGATGTGTTTCTTGATGTTTTTTTTTCCCCTGCATGCCCACACTCTTTTAATAGCTCCATATATGTTGAGTTTTGTTCTAGCCACCTTAGGCCAAGTGTGAAGCAAGACTCTAACGTACGTGTGAAGTAAGACTTTAATATACGTGGCAGGGAGAGGTTTGATTCCTTATTGCATCCTTCCATTGCTTTTTCAGTTTGCAGGGTCTTGGTTAATGTCTGTTCTTCCTTAACCATCTGATGCTATAGATACCGTTACCGGACTGATCTTTGTGTGTCTGTTAGTTGGAGAGTACAAAATTAAATGATTGTACCTTTTTCACAAGGGTTTAGATTAGGTGAGGAAGAGAGAAAGTATGAATATGAAGGGAAATAAAATAGCAAGGGAATATATATAAAAACAAATCATGTACATCAATTTTAAAATCACGTGTGATTTTTTTATTTTATCATCTGTAGATAGAATTGCTGCACCTTAATATTATGTGAACTAAGATTTCTGTTATTGTCTTCAGCAGAACCTCCAACAGCAGTCATACCTTATCATCTTGTCAAACTATGGAGCCCTGCACCTCAGATGAATTTTTTCAGGCTCTCAACCATGCTGAACAAACTTTTAAAAAGATGGAGAATTATCTTAGGCACAAACAGCTATGTGATGTGGTGTTAGTTGCTGGTGATCGTAGAATTCCAGCTCACAGGTAAGTTTATTATAATTTGAAGTAACTTCATGTTCACTTATAAATGCACCTTCAAAGTGTGTGCTGTGTTTTATTTAAAAAAGGTCAGAACATCCTGAACAATTCAGAATACTTTAAACATGCTTATGTTTTTTAACATTTATTTGGAAACTAAAAGTTAATTTCTGTCTGTTGTGTGCAATACAGCATCAAAAATAATTGTGATGTTTTCATGTTCTACTTTTTGTCTTCAAGCATATAGTAAGATATTTGCATAACAAAATAAAAACCCCAGAAGTCCTGAAGGCACCCTCAGAATACTATAAGTAATAGTGGTTTCTGTGCCATAGAATGATGTAAAAAATTTTTCTTAATTTTTTTCTTTGTACTAACAATTAAGTTGTAGGAGTCATAATTAGCAATAAGGACAGTCTTCTGTCCGCATAAAGTTTTTTTGCTCCCATAGTAAGAAGAGTCCTTTGATAGTAGACTACTGAACACTGACAGTAAGTGTTAGAGGGCTAAATTAGATCAAACATTACCCTGTCATCTGTGTAATTAACAGATCATATAGCATGCCACTTAAAAGCTAGGAAAATACCAAAGACTGTGAAACAAAAATGTGAATAACTGAAGCACATTACAGTATTTAATACACAGTATTAATAGTTCAAATAGGAACCTAGGTATAATTAAGCTGTGGTTTCATAAGATTAGGTCTACAACAGAAATAGCAGCCTACAGCATTCCTATTTTCCATTGCTCATTCCTACCCCCATAGTGAAACTACAGCTTAATACTGTGATAGTAATAAGAAGATGGGAAGAGGTTGCTGTTTTGGGTTTGGTATTTTTCTTAAAAAGCCAGATGTCTGCTTTTATTCAGATATCATCCACACTGTTGTGCTGACACAACTGAAGGAATGATAGCATGGGGATGGGAACTGACTTGAGGAGCAGGGAGGCAGTTATACCATAACTTGCTATTGCTCTCAGACACTTTGTTTTATGAAACTTCATTTTTAAACAGTCAAGGCTATCCCTGAGTTTTCCAAGTTGATTTAAGCAAATCTTACTGCAATTACCGCTAAAATGGGTGGTCCTGCTCTCCACCCAACCCCTGACGTGAATTCCTTTGTAAACACTTCTAGCCACGTAGCTGTGGATGATGGTGAATCCTTTTTGGAGAGACAATACGGTGAGCAAGATGATTTGGCTTTCCCTGTGGCTACAGAGTTGCTTAAGATTGATCTTCAGTTTGTTCAAATTAGTTGCAAAACTGCGTTGTCTCTGTGGAAAGAGTGAGTCAGATGAAAACAGGGAATGCACACACTCCTCGTGAATTTGCACCCGCTGAAGTAATTTAGAAGTCAAAGAGCTTGGGAGTGCTATAAACAGGAAAAATTGTGATTATAATAAGGAAATAATTTTACTTCCTTATGTGGCTAAGGTAGCACCTTTGCAGTACACAGTTCTGGAGTATGGTTTATGTAGTAATTAAAAAGTGTAGAAAGGGTGCAGAGGACAGCTGCAATTATCTTGTAAGGACTACAGATTTTTTTTTTTGCAACAAGATAAACAGAAAGACAATGTGCTAAAAAGTTCTTTAATGTGGTTTGTACCTGTTTCTCATTTATTTAGAGAACTGACTTTGCTCCTCCAGTTTCTGCTACTGTATCTGTTTCTGTAGTGCATTAGGCATTTGCTACCACCTGTTAATTGCTATCATCTTCTCTTCTTAGGAGGAGAAACATCTTGCTGTAGTTGGTATAATGTTTTTTAAATAAGCATGAAAGTTAAGAAGTACACCTTGTGCTTGTAGCAGGAGGTTTATGATTGTCCTTAGTTCACTTTATAATGTTGGAGCAACTTAGAAGCTTTGCCTTTTCCACAGTAAGTTCTTTGTCTTACTGTTTTGTTTTCACAGAGAAACATAGCAATAACTACAGTCTTCATCTCAGTACGTCCAAAGTACCTTACTGAAAATTGAACTTTTCCATAATGGGAAAGACAAAGATGGAAATCTTAAATTTGGTTCAGAATTTCATAGAAATTCAGTAAGAAGACTGGCTTTATGTACTTGTAGTAGCCTACGTTATAAAAAAAATTCTGTAGGATTTTTTTACCGCCTGCATCCAAGTTCTGACTTCTTTAGTATTGACTGCAGGCTGGAGCAGTCAGTGTATTTCAGAATGCTAGCGATTATTTTATCTTAAGACTTAATAAGCAACAAAAGACATATTAAATAGCTATTAGCTTAATGGCTTGGCATTCTAAGATGTGTAAGAAAATAGAAAGGTCACTTACACTGGACAGCTTTTTTTTTCCTTTTTTCTTAAGAAAGATAAAAAGGGGTTTTCTTCATATGTAGTCACATAGAATTGGTAAGAAAGAACACTTTTCATTATTATTATTTATCATGCTCATATATAGAGAGGAGTCTTCAGATTTTCTGTTTTGAACCAGATATTTTTAATAGTTCCTGTATTTTTTTTCTCAATTTTCAGTTTCTACTTTTGATGATACTTGAATGTTCTGAGGTATATGATGTCTGTTTTTAGAGAAAAGAGCAGTGAGTTTAGTGTCTGCAATAATAATAAGCACAGGTAATACATTACTGGAAAATTCTGAAGGGTTTTGGTTTGTATCTATTCAAAGAATTCAGGCTATGAGTTTACTACAAATAAGATTATCACATGTAGTCATGATTTTTCTGAATATGGCATTTTCTGTTATTCTAAGACTGTTTATCTTCTCATTCTGTGCTGAAATTATAGCTAAGAACTTTTTTAGGAGATCAGGAAGCAAGTAGGAAAGGGGACAGTTCTCCACAAGGAAAAAATGCAGTATATTCCCACTCCCTTAGCCTGCAGTTCCATAGAGAAATTTTGCCAGACTTTTAATTAAATTTAATTAAATTAATATAATTAAGTTTTTCATATCAGGTGCTTTTTCTGTGTCCACTGCAATTTCAGATGTCTAAGTCATTTATTACATTCCTATTTATTACATTCAGCTAACTGCTATAGCCATAATAAAAGTTTGGGTTTTTTTTATAATAACCTGCCAATCAGAACATTCACATAAGAAAAGGGAGGTCTGTGTAAATTCCTGGCCAGAGGGGATTTAAAGCCTGCTCTGCATCCTTTAACCAGCAATCTGAAAATCTGTGCAGAGCCGTTTTCTTTCTTCCTGTTGACACTGAAAGATGGAAATACAAAAGACGCGGGACTGAAGGAAAGAAGGCAAATGGAAGCTTATGTACTCTAGGGGTTAGGAAGCTTGTTTGAAAGAGCACAAATCCTGGTTTGAAGACATTTTTTTATCTTGAGGCTTCTTTATCTTTGTACTTCTTTTCCATATGGCTTAATAATGCTTCCTTTCTTTCACAGTCTGTATTGCCTTAATTTGTAAATCCTTCGCTGCACCCTTTTTTTGTTTGTTTGTTTTAGCTACATATTTATAAAAGTTTAACACAAAGTGTCTTTCTGAAAAGTCAAAGTATATAAAAAAGCAGTTCTGTGATAGCTTTATGTTGAAAAGGTACTATTGCTACTAACAGTGTGGTTGTTTTGAAAAATTTTACTGAAGAGTTTATTGTAATCATCATTTTAGTGTCAGAAGCAGCAAATGAATTTTGAAAGGTTTGACTTCCCTGGAAGAGAACTGTAATTGGAAATCATTTTAACTTAAACATACTGCATGTCTTTTTAGGCCTTTGTTGCTTTTAAACAAAGTTAATTTAAATAAATACAGATATATTAGTAGTGTGGGATAGTACCACTTTTATATATTCTTTTTATTACCAACATGCTTTGTTATCAAGAATAGAAACCAGCAGAAGCTACCAGTGGATGAGGTGCTTCATACTAGGACGCATGAACTATTCAGTATCACCTTACAACTTCAGTGAATGCTATTAGTGAGTTCCCTAGGGCTATTTTCATCTGTTACACAGCCACAAACAAGGAGTTGCCTAGGAAGTGTCCCTTTTATCTTTAAGATACTAAGAAGCTTCACTTCATTCTGTCAGGTGAATCAGGTTGGGAGATACTAAATCTGTAAATTGCCAGGTTTGAGAGCTATCATAATTTTATGTAAGATTTGCTTTGAAGACCTAGAAAACTGTCTACATGATGCAGCTTGTGGCAGTTTGAACAAGAAGTACAATTTAATTCAGACGTGCCACCCTGCTTACACATATTTACTGGCTCTCAGTAAAAGAATCTTCAAGATAAGTTAAGCCATCATGGTGGATCTTTTCTATTTTTGGGTCAGTACAAACCACAGAAATTAAAGACATCAGTAGCATTGGAACCTCCTGTAAGAACAGGGAGATGTACTGAAACACCCAGACTTTGTCAGTATTTAGCCCATAGCTGCTGAGTGTTTTTCCAGATTAATTGTTCAGACATCTTACGATCTCCCAGATGGAAAATTCTGGTATTCATGTGTTCCTTTTTGTCTACATTTTTCCTGTGCACTGAAAAAGAGCAGTGAACCTACTGCATACAGTTCAGTAGCCAAATTCTTGTAATCTCACCTGTGCAGAATTGAGTATTTGGCAGTAGCTGGTAATTAGGTAAGAAGGAGTGTAAAGGTAAGTATGTTTGATATCCACAGTCAAAGAATACAATGTCAACGGTATTAAGGCTTTTTCTTGATTTTTTTTTTCCTTGAATTTTTTTTTTACTGTTGACACGCCTCTCTAATGTCAATATATACTGATTTCGTAGACAAAAGAAATATTACTCTTAGGGGGAAAAAGACTACAAACTCAGAATATAAAAACCATAGCTTTCTTCAGTTTCTAAACGGACGAAAGGCAGTATTTTGTAGCATCAGTAGTTCCCAGTGAACTCTTCGTATAGATGAATATGTTAATTTTCATGATTAGTAAATAACACTTAAGAGACTTAAATAACGCTTAAGAGATCATCTTTATGTTAAATACTAACAGAACCATGATGGCTCTGTTTAACAAGGAGACTGTGAATATAAGTGTAGTTTTTGTAGTCATTGCACATTGCATTTTCTTTTGGAAAAATCATACTTGTCACTTAGCTCTTTTAGAGTTTTTTTAGCAAAAAGGTCAAATATGGATAGGCAAAGTCTTCAATGGATTATTCAGTTATATGAAGGTATTAGCTGCTTCACATTGTATAATCTGTATGTAGGATTGCACTTTAATTTCAGACAATGCAAAAAAAAGATTGAAAGAAAAATCAGTTACTGGCTATGAGATTAAAAGATCAATGAACAAGTGGGTGTCAAATGGCGTGAGTAAAGTAGTAATTGATTTTTATTGACTAGTGGGAAAAACATAAGACAAGAAAAGGCCAGTTGGCTTGAAAGTCTGTCTTTGTTTTCCTTTATGCTAGCTCAGTGTCACCTTGATGCATTGTCACTATATCTTTTAATCCCCTTTCTTTCTTTGCAAGAACTTTTTTCTAAATTAGTTGAATTCAGAGAAAAGTGTGGATACTGGTTCTAAGGCTTTTCGTTGTGAACATGCTTCTTGGCTAAAATTATTACAAAATTGTTATCAGTATAATTTATGCTTTGGCATATTACTTGTATTAATCTACTCCTGCGCTGCACATCCTGTTTCGGCATATACAAGTCACTCTCTGGAAAGCACTTAACACTATGAAGCATGTGTACCGTCTCATGAATCCGAACACAGGTTTGCAAAAATAGTAAATGGCTTGCATTTTAAATTTCTAATGACTTCTTTTGGAGGACTTTGAGACTGGAAATTACAGGGAGAAATTTGCTGATATCAAACAGCTGGTAGAAGGTGTTTGTCTGGAGCTTGGGTTATTATTTTGCATTTCTTCAACAGTTGTTGCTAAGATATGTACAGTCCAGCAATTTTCTAAATAATAGTGCAGCTAACTAAACCAATTGCACTGTTGGGAGAAGAAAAAACAAAAAAAAACCAAACCCAAAAGTGTGTTAAGATTAGGTTTTAGTTTCTGTTTCCCATTGTAGAGACTTTCCTTTTCAAGCTCTATTCTGTGTGGAAGTTCAAGTCAGTATTGCCAGAGGTGAATATTTTGTTTGTTTTGCCTTTTTTTTTTTTTTTTTATTTAATTCTGAATCTGACCTGCAGAGATACTTGGGTTATTCAAATCTGTCCATATACACACTTTCCCTTCCAAGGAGAACCCCTGTTCTGTACATACAGACCTGATCTTGTCATCTCATTCTAGCATCAAAAGCAGTTGCAGAAACTCTCCTCTGATGCTTACGTGAATGTACTCTCTAATTCCACTAAACTTCTACAGATCTCTAGGAGGCAGTATTTTCATTCAACTGCAAGTGTCATTAAGCCTGAGGTTAAAATGCCTAGAAGTGATGCCTGGCAGAATGTTCTAATTTATCTCAGCAAGTCAGCCACAGAATAAATCTTGTATTTCAAGAGCAATATGTTCTTTAAAAGAACAGAACTTTATTTCTCATTACAAAACTTCACTTCAACGATACAAGATGTTAAAATAAAATTAATCTTTTCCCCATACGCTCTTAACCCAACTCTGTTGCCTCAGCAACCAGAAAAAAAGGATTACCCTACTATAGGCCTGACCAAACAGCCAATGGTCAGAAAATCAGCAAGAAAAAAGTAGTTGAAATTAGTCAACAATTTATTCGTTTGTAGTTAATTAACTAAGAGACAGTTCGTTGTAGTTCATGGCTTTGTGTATGTACCTGCAAATCCTCCCCATTAATACATGTTTAGACTTAGTCCTAAGCACTGGTGCTCACCTTTTCAATTAATTCTACTCTGTCCTGTGGTTCCTGACCTCTGTCATCTTAACAAGCCAATATAATGATTCAGCACAGAATAAACTGACATTTCGTGAGGTATTAGATTCATTGAATGAATGCAGATGGACTGTGTAGTGTATTTGCAGTAGGCATGATTCTTGGGCTTGCTGTTTGTATAGCTCAGTACATATGCAAGTGTATTTATATTTTAATTCCCTGTGAGCAAGGCAACAGTGAACTGCTGCAGCACAAAAATTGATCCAACCCAAAAGGCTGTTCCTGGAGGTCTCTTAGGGAAGAGACCAGCAGACCTCATGAATAGTTATGGTAGCTTTCATACAACAGAACTATGGGTTGAATATTCCTGCTTCACACGATTTCCTTTCTCTTTCACCCTAGTCCTGTGAACACATGCTGAGACATCAAAATTCTTGCACGTTTTGCGGAGTGGCATTGTTACATATACTCAGTGTTTCACTCTCAGTAATCCAAAGAAATGTCTGTTGTGCACTAACATGTTTACTTACTCAGTATCTTAAAATACTCAGAATTGTTAACAAAAGGCTAAATACATACCCACAAAGGAGATTACTCTGACTGTACCATCTCCATCTTTACTGTGCCTAGTTCTGTTATCTATATTAGTAAATGAAGGCATATGTGTGCACCAAGAGTAAAAGCATTTTAAAGCACTTTGAAAAGGCCTAGTAAGTCATTCTTTCACCTTTAACAAAGTAATTGACATAATATAAATGGAAGTAAATTCTTTTTTTTTTTTTTTTGTTTCCATAATGTGTATTTATATTCCATTTCCAATTTATGTGTTTTTCGTGGGTTATTTCTGTGTTGGCTAGGAAATGTAGCTTCAGTAACAGTACTTCATTATTCATAGCGGGGAACTAGAGCATGGAGCAGTTTGTCAATTTTACAATGTTTTTCTCAGTACAATGTTTCTTCAAAAGGCAAAGTAATGAATCATAAATTAACAAACATCAGGTTGACTAAGTTGGTTTTGTTTTTTTTCCCCTCCCCTCTTTGTCTCTTTCCTTTTCTCCTGCACGATGTACGCAGACTGGTTCTCTCCTCTGTTTCGGACTACTTTGCGGCAATGTTCACTAATGATGTAAGGGAAGCAAGACAGGAAGAAATCAAGATGGAAGGTGTGGAGCCAAATGCATTGTGGGCTCTGGTTCAATATGCATATACAGGTAATTAGAATGAAAATGGGAACTTCATCTAATGAATTGCCCTCCTGTCAACACTATATTCCATTACTAGATTTCAGATGCTCTTCAGAAATTATAATTTACATGATTTAATCCCTTAGAAATAAATAAAAAGAAATCATCATTGCCGTTACCTGAGGCAACCTGGTGGGATGTAGTTTCTCTGATAATACTGTATTCAGTTAGCTGACAAATTATGTGAATATTTTAAATGTATCATGACTGACAAAAAGAAGAATCTTAGTAGGATTCCCTTCCCTTACATCATTATAGGTACTAATTCTGAAAAGCTGGTTATCTGTTGCTGAGGGTGATGTTTGCTAAGCCTTATATTCTGTCATATAATCTGTAAATAATTCCGTTGCCTCTGAGTTTTAGGGAATTTAACAAATGATAAGAGCAAACTAATGTGATCTCCTATTTAATGTTACTAGGTCGCCTTGAATTAAAAGAAGATAACATTGAGTGCCTGTTGTCTACAGCTTGCCTTCTTCAGCTCTCTCAGGTTGTAGAAGCATGCTGTAAATTCCTAATGAAGCAGCTTCACCCATCCAATTGCCTTGGAATCCGATCTTTCGCTGATGCACAGGGTTGCACTGACTTGCACAAGGTGGCTCACAATTACACTATGGTACGTATGTTGTTATTTTCAGTATCATCCACTTTATTTAGTAAGAAAAATACAGAATGTTTTCCTGAATAAAATACTAATGTTTTTCCCCCAGAAAGCCTTGATCATTTTCCAAGCAAGAATGCGCATATGTTCCCATGATGAGAAATGGCAAAATAACTATAAAGTTGCTGGTTTACATTTGGAAGGAAATAGGCAAGCATTAATGGTTCCCTGTAACAGTAATGGGGTTGTGTGATATGCATTTAATAAACTCATTCAAAAGCTTGTTCTTATTTGTCAGTCAAAAACTACAAACTTAACAGTGGGCAAGCTGCCGTCACCTAGTCCAAAATAACACGTTACTAAATGAAACTGTAAAATTCTTGTTTTGTAATGAGCTGGAGTAATCAGGTTCTAAGTTATGCTCGGGGTATGAATGTGGGCATTCATCAATATAGATTCTGCATTATCCTTAATTTCTTCATAATGGGATGTCAGGATGGCATCAAACAATTTACCCTTAGGCTAGGCAATATGTGACTAAATACAAATTTGCCAATGATATTTTCAGAGTTAATTTTTAGAAAGACTGACCTGCCAACTTAATTAAACTTCATCTTCTTAATAGTCATCCTCTTATTTTAATGTAAAATGTTCTTCTTTTCCTTCTCACGAGCATATTTTAGTAATGCTATCAGCAGAAGAAGGCAGGAGAATTATCTCTGAGGCAAGTCGGTTCATCTGTTCGTTGGAGTTTTGTGAGGCATTTTTCTCTTCTTGATGAAATTTTGCCTATGTAAGCTCTTGGGACCTGAATGAGGGCATGCAGATACTGCATAAGAGATGTGGGAATGAAGATAGTACTTAATTGCTTGTGTGGCATGGCATTGCATTGCCGTTAAGCTATTGGCTTAGATCCAAGAGATGTAATTTCTGTCTCGTAATTAGTATTAGAAATCCATGGTTTTTCCTCTTGCTGGTTTAAAACTTTTTTTTTTTTAATTCTTTCTTCTTGGCTTAAAATAACTTAGTTTAGTATGTATAACAGTTTAAGGTAGCTTTTTTTTTTTTTTTTTTTAATATGATACAATGTTCTTCTCAGTGAGTGGACCTCTGATGTGTTTAAAATCATGTACACACTGACATTTACCAAAACAGGTCAATAAATAGTGTGCAGATTGTAACTTACATGTTTCTATTTTTGATCTTCATTATTGCTCAAACAAAAATAAGGAGACTGCAATTAGCTAGACAGTCAGATGAAACAGTAAAGATAAACATGGCTTATGCCTTTATATTAGAATTAATATTGAGCAAGACAGCAATACAAAAAGTATGCAAAAAGAGAACCTCCCTCCTCTGACCTATTTGTTCTTTTCCAGAATAAGTGTATATTTTGGTCTGTGCTATTGTCATGTCCCTTATAAGTGGACTGCCAAGATCAGAACTGTAATAAATGTTAGACTAATGCATCTTTAAAGATGAATGTTAGGGATTATAGTCTTATTATTTTGACTGGCAATTCATGACTTGTGGCAGAAAGGGGCTGTGAACTTTCTAAAAGCCATTCTTTTACAGCACCTATGTTTGTTTTGTTCAGACCACAGGAAAATAGTTGTATGCCTTTTGGCCATTGTTTACTTCATTGGCAAAATTGTTGCTTTTAAGGCTTTGATGTGGATGAAATTTAAATTAGGTGGATTTTGAAAAGCCATTTTCAAAACTAATTAGTTGTGCTAGATGGATTCTTCCCAAGGCCTCTTTTAATGTTGTTTAGTTCCAACAGAGACATGAAATTGAATTTTAGTAATAATGAGTAATAGAGAAGCAGCTTCTTTAGTTTGAAATGAATGTTGCTATGGAAACTGCATAGAAATGTATAGTCCAATTGAATCTTCAATTAAAATAAATCCCCAAGTAATTTAATTTGTTTAAAAGCTGTTTGAAAAAAGAAAATGTTCAACATTAGTAAGTGCTAGCCACTTGATGCTCTTTCCATTAAGAAGTATTAGAGCATAAGGGAGAAGTGCACCTGTAGTACCTGGAAATTCTGTTTGTTAAAACAATGAATTATTTTTATGCTGCAGTGGGCAGCATAGAACAATGGAGGATTATACTGGGTATAGTATACACTTCTGGCTTTTCCATGTAATTTTAGTTCTTTTAAAGCACTTGAAATAGAAGGTAATGAATAATATAAAATACTTTAATTTATACATGTTATTTTCTATGAGTTTATATTTTTCTTTGACAGAAGAAAATCAGATTGCCTTATAACTGGTTTTCTGCAATTAAAGCAACTTCTCAGTTTTAAAGGTGTGTTTGACACATGCTATGATTTGACAATCATCTTACCTGCTGCATTAAAATAGTTCTTCACATGAAGACTAGAAATTCAGATGAAAGGAGCATTTGGTTAAACTGAAGGACCAATCAGTGAGTTATCCCAGTAGGCCTACCTCTGTTAATAGACCTGCTCTGTCTGAATAATGTTCCTTAGTGTCATTGGAAAGCATTAGCATGATTTTATGGCATGATTTTAATGGCATAATCCAGTGCGATTAAAAAAATAAATTAAGAAGAAGGATTTGAATGCTGCACTTCTTCGTATTAAAGAAGTAGATGTATGTTATGCTAAAAGGACTTAAGTGTTGCATTACTTTATTGCTTACTGTGTTGGCAGTTGATAAGTTGTTTTTTCAGAGGAGAATAATTTTTAAGGTTATCATCAAAACACGTCAATTTTTGACATTGCGAACTAAAGCTTGAAAAATCCTCAGGATGCATTAAGTGAAACATGAAATAAAGTGATCAGTAGTGGATTTAATGCTGTATAAAGAGCAACTCTGATTTTTATGCATCAGGGTTTTAAAATACAGTTGACAGAATCATGAGATATATCTGGGTAAAGGTATCTTTTGTACAAAGGTTATCTTGTTTTGCTGTAGTTTATAGTATTGGAGTCATACAGTTACAAATTTAGGAATTTTATTAGGCTGACCAGTAGTCTATCTGTTCACTTTAATTCGTAAAGCCTTTTTGCACAAAATGCCTTCTGTGCATTTTTCTTGCTGTCTTCACAAAGTCAAAGGAAACATGCCTTTTGTCATCTTGTTTGTTTGAAACAGTCGATAGTGTACCTTGAATGAAACCCAATAGCTCCTCTTCCACAAAAAAGTAAACCAAAGGGAAGTTAATTCTTTCAGATGAAGAAAAGCTAGCCTGTGTTATTTCCAGAACATGAAATATCTGTGGTGAGTAGTGAGGTGTTCTTAGGTGTCAGTAGCTTCTTCAGTAGCCAGATTTTAACTTTTTTAATTACAGCCAAAAAAAGAAAAAGCAGGCGTTCTAAACATTATACGTGATAGTGCCTGAGTCAATCCCTGTGTAGATAGCTTTGTAATCTTTGTTGCTCACCTTTCCATGCTTAAAGCAGAGTGAAAGGCCATTTTGATTTTCATCAGAAGTCTTCAGAAGTACGTGAGCAGTGATAATGTTACAAGAGTCAGATGAAGTTAATTTTGGAGTTTGCATGATTTCTGAGCACAGCCCATGGCTGTTTATAAGAAGAAAACCTTAGAGAGGATAGAGTAACGGATTGAGGCCAAGCATAGAAGCTAGGAATTTTGCAGAAGAACAGATGTGGGACACTTAAACTTGCTTTCTCCTGAAAGGCAGGAGTTGGGTAAGAAAAAATCATTGCAATATGGAGTTCTTGATTTAGGAGGAGGAATCAAAGAGGTATAATTAGGTTTTTTTATTGCAATGACCAGGACAGATTGTTCGGGACGGGGGGACCATGAAAAGGGGAGAAATTTCAGTATTTTTTTGTCCACAAAGGGCCAGACCCAAAGATTGTGTTAGTGCCTAGAACAAGGATTTTATATTCTTGCACCCGAAATTGCAGTCTAAAATATCCTGCTTGGTAATCATCTGACTTGGAAAATACTCCTTCACTTCTTCTCACCTGTGAAACCCCAAGATATTTCTGTCTTCCAATTTCCCTAAGTTCTGCCTAGCACAATAGATCAGTACTGCCTTGGCAAGACTAAATCGGTTTCTGCATGTTGCGCAGCCTGTTTTGGAATCCAGAAACTATGCAGAGAGGAATGAAGCTACAGTAGTTGTACTCTAAACAAACCCTGGGCACACCGAAAGCATTAGGTTCGTTTATTGCTTAATGCAGCAGTCAAAGCTGACTAAAAGTAAAGTAGCTGCTATCTGACATCTGTCTGACTATTAATAGTTTACCAGGAGGTCAGATAGCTCAGCTCTTAGTGAATTCATACCTCAGCTGACTGAAGCAGCCAGTAGACAGAATTACATTCCCTGTTTGTTCTCATTCAGATCCTGTGAGTCAAGCACCTCTTGCTTCTCAGCTGTCCAGGTTCAGAGTTTAAACAGAGCCCTGTGGTTAGAGCTGCCCGTTGGGCCACCTCAGCGTACCATCCTTCTCAGCCTGCAGGTGTTCTGATGCTCTCCGAGGGTCTAATCCCTCTGACACAGTGCAGAGGGAGACTAACCATCTCGCTGGATCCCACTGTGGGGATTAAGTACATTTAGAAATAAGCATCATGACGTCTTATCTTGTATGTGCTCCTAATATTTTTTGCTCTGTATCAAGTCCAAGGCAGACCTGTGATTAAAAATATCAGTATTATTCACTCTGCAGTTGCTGAAGGGTGAATTTAAGGTTATGATGTGAATGAGCAATGCACAGCATTGAGCACGGGGACTGTGTGTCCCTGTTTTAGCTAATACATAAACCTCAGGCGACTCATCTGATAAAGTTTCCAGGCTCTCTGAGGAGCTAATTCTGGGGGTGGGAAACTTTTTTTTTACTTTCAGGACCAGAAAGCAAGGGACTGAAACTGCAGACCGTTTGTTCTCTGAAATATCCTGTTCTTCCACAGAGAGTTCCCATAAGAAGAAGGAAAGAAAAGGCTAATGAGGAGGTTAAGAATGCTAGGAGATACACTGGCTCCTCCTTTTTGTCTTCAGAATCTCTGTCTGTAGAGGAAGAGGAATTGTCAGATTCTGATTATAAAAAACCCCAGACGTAGGCCAAAGAGTGGCTGTATTCCCAGTGGAATGCTTTGATGCTATGCTCAAAAGGAGTCTCTGCTTTAAAAATAGAATGGGAGCAAGAGGAAGTTGAACTTGTTCCCATCAGAAAGCAATTGTCTGCAAGCAACAATAAAGAAAATCAGGCTTTTTACACACAACAGCTGTTGAAGTGATGAAATCCAGTTGGAAAAAACCTTTCCAAAGAGGATCCCTGACTGACTGACGCAAGATCAGCTTGTCGTCGCCTTCAGAGACAAAGGAAACTTTCCATGCAGGTGCTTTCCCCTTCCTCTTCCTGTGATCCGGATAGACAATATGGAAGGTTTAAGGTAGTAAGTGTTGGCTTTTCTCTTTGTCAGTGCTCACTGCCTGTTTATTCAGCAAAACTAAAAGCACAGCTCCAGCTTGCATATTCTCTAGGACAGAGAATCAACAAAAAAACAGCAGTGGAAAAAATGAACTCAGTGGAATCTGAATTTCTGCGAACTGCATGTTTAAACTCTGGAAATAATTTTGATGGTTTTTCAGCTTCAATTTTACTCCCAAGCATTCGATACCAGAGTAAAATAAATAACAGTGCATGTGTAGTGCTACTGAGTATTGGTACAGTCCTTTCACTGTTTTTAATTCCTGTATTTGCTCATTTTCTTAACTTTCACTTTGTAATACAGAGAGTTAAACAAATTAAAGAGGAAAAGACAGTTCTATCTCCCTTCTAATCTACTACAGTTTTCACTTGGAGCACTACTTTTGTGTAGTCAATTGGATCTCTCTAGTAGGAAAGCTTTTCAGATATTAAATGTAAAATTTTCCTTTCCAAATTCTATCCAGGAATACAGTTATACGTACAGATAACACTTTCAATTCTTTTCCTGATTTCAACTCCAGCTGTGGAGTGGAGTCACTTTGATCTTTCCCCTTGTCACTTTGATTGTTCATCTTGTGGCCATCTTATGTATGTGTGGCTTTCATGTAAGGTGGCCTGGTTTACGCCTTCGTTTTTTCCTCTTTGCTCAGCATTCTTTAATTAGTTAATATTTTTGCAGTACTGAGGTATAGCTTTGAAATGATTAGACTAAGCAATAAAAAGGAAGAAGTGTTACCTTTTTCACTTTGTTGTCATGATGTCCTTTGCATATGCAATGCCAAACTGTACTGTATGTTTTTGTTGCCATTTTATATGCTAAATTCATACCTATTTTTCAGTGCAGGTCCTGCTTCTGCTCCCAAGTTTCTCCCTGTTTTTTTGACCTAAAAAATCCTATTTTTTTTCCCCAACATGTATGTGCTTGTAATCCAGAGTTTTTTCATTAGTGTGCAATTCTTTCTTTTTAAGTCGTTAAACAAGATACTAAGTAAGGCTAATTTTGATATTAGGCCCAGATAGACTTCCATGTCTGTGGATCTAACGTACTTTATCCTCCAGGTGTTTTGGAGGTCCACGTGATGGCAGAGCAAAACCGGCATCCCATTGGCTAGCTGTCTAGCAATCAACAGTGCGTTTACTCAGTTGCTTGCAATACCATTTTATTGACATGAAGTTACCCTCAGTTTGGAGTATGAGGTTAACTGGGTTTTTTAAATGTTGTGATTCATAGACTGCTTTTACTTTTCTTTGCTGCCTTGTAAAGTGAAAGAGGATAGACACGATCTCACCCTTTTGTGTTACATTCAGGTTTCTGTAAGTTTATAGTGCTGATTGTGTTTCTACATACTTTTCTGCTACTTCTGCCTAAGTTCATGAGAATCCTTACAGAATATTCTGCAAGTCCTAGTATTATGAAATAATAGGATATCAATGTTGGAAATGTTACATATTGTGACTTTCCTGTTTTGAAGTAAGGATTTGTTGCTGGAAATGACAGGATGATCATTAGAAAATTGAATCCCATCAAAGGAAATATTGATAATAAAGCAAGGCATGTACAATATTGTGGATTCTTTGTATGTTTTGCTCCCCAGTCAATCAGATCAGCTGTATAAAACCTACAAAATAGTAAAATAAACTTCAAATAATAAATTTAAAATCAACAATAAAATTGTTAGTGTTGTTTATTTCCTCTGAAAACTTCATGCCATAGTTTAATCTAGCAGTAGTAAAAACAGTTAGATGTGCCCAGTAGTTGTAGCATGTTGTGCTCTTTGCTTGACAAAGCATCTTACATTGTATTCTACATTGTCAACAGGAACAAACTGCACCTTTTATTTTTTTAAACTATACTTCAGAAAGTATTTCTTCAGTTTGCAGTGCCAAGATAGTAACCCCCACAACCCATTGCTCGTTTCTGTCCATACACTTCCCCCTCAGTTGTTTCAGCACGTCTGCCTGTGGGACTGAATGATAGAGTTGGGGAAATGATCAGGGGTCAAAATAACTCAGGACATTTTTATTGTACTTTTGTTTTTTTCTCCCAGGTCAGTTCTCCAGCGGTGTTTGTGGTACAACTGAAAGATGGCGTGAAGAGAGGGAAAAGAGGGGAAGATATAGTAGGAGTTCCATAAAATGTCTTCAAAGTATGACGTCACCTGTATTAAAAATGCTTTTCTTTTTCAGGAAAACTTCATGGAAGTAATTAGAAACCAGGAATTTCTATTATTACCAGCCACTGAAATTGCAAAGCTTTTAGCAAGTGATGACATGAATATTCCTAACGAAGAAACTATACTGAATGCACTGCTTACATGGGTTCGACATGATTTGGAACAGAGAAGGAAAGATCTCAGTAAACTCCTGGCTTACATTAGACTGCCTCTGCTTGCTCCACAAGTAAATTGTTCAATTCCTCTCTAGTTTATACCATGGTTACAATGGGCATAATGTCTACAGCATCAAGATATTGATAGTGGCAAATCATAAAAGCTTCAGGATTCTTAATGATTTGGATTCTTAGAGCTGCGTATAAGGACTTAGCATGTTGTATAGGCATGACAGGTCGTGTCTGCCTGTGAATTGCAGCATATTCTGATCCTAGCCTGAGATCAGTCAGGACACAAGAAGGGGTGGAGCTGCTAGGAAAAAATCACATCTGTTGCCTATAAAAATGCTTATCAAGGGTATGTTTGTCACTAGAAGGTGCGTCCTTTTTAAATTTCTTCTTGCACAGTTTATTTGGATCATTACATTTCCTTCACATAATTATAGCTATCCTTGAGATTTAGGAAATACAATTTGAATAAATTATTTGGAGTGTTTTTTCTTCTATTAACTCTTGATAAACCATGTTTGGGTACTTTTTGTTCTTTTCTCTTTCTTGGGCATTTACACACAATATTGAGGAAGACTTGAGCTCAGTTTGTTTAAATAGTTGTAAATTACAGTTTTCCTAGTCCTGTAGGAATGACTACTCTTGTTAGTGTCACATGTAGCATTGTATTTGTTATCTGATAGCATGCATGTAAACTAGGTTTAATTTAAAAAAAAAAAAAAAAAAAAAACCAAAAAAACATACCCTTTCCCCTTCTCTTGTGCTAGCCTTCCTTGCTGGACCTTCGTTAGTAACATTTAACACTTACTATACAGTCATAGGATTTTGCTTTACAGTTTTCAGTTTGTTTAGTGAGAATTATCTCTATTAAATGAAGAAAACGGATTTTTATGGAACCTGAATAATAAGTAGAATTCATTAACACAACAAAAACTGCCTTCAATTCATGCATAGTGATAAGTCACATACATACACAACATTCTGTGTATTACTTCTAATCTGGTATCCTCTCGCTGCGTAGTAAGATTCACTAGCAAGCATTTTAGTATTAATATTTCCATACTGATTATTATATATGCAATGGCAGAATTTTCTCAGTTGTGGCCTTGACTTTGTAATTCACTTTTTCTAGAAACATAATGCAGTGTAAGCCAGTTGACCTGGAGGAAATAATTCTTTTGTTGAGCATTTAATTAATTGATAACTAAGTAATCACTGCTGTATTCCTGTTACTTAATTGACTGTAATTGAAACATCTTTAGAAACTGAAAGTACAGAATTTATCCCAGAAATATGTACGGAAATCAAATTATGTCCACTCAATAACTGATTAGGAAAATAGCAGAATGAAACACAAAAGCAACAGCAGATTTCACTTATTATTTTATCTTTAATTTTTCATGTCTTCTCCAAATATATATTTATATTTCTAATACAATTTTTTCTGTTGCCTTTTTATTTATTACTTTCTTTAACAAATTCAAGTGTTAAAGCTGTGATTTTAATATGGCAACAATTAGTGCATTGAGTAAATCGGTTTGAAATGCCCAAACAGTCTTAACATTTTCAGAATCATGTTTTGCTTCATGATCACGTGATATTAGGCAATCTGACAGCAAACATAACATAATGAAAAGGTTTCCAATTTTACGGTTGAAGGGTTAAAGCTATTTGAAAGAAATCAAATTAGAAAATTGAACAACTTGCTGAAATCAATAAAGTTGCAAGCAGAGATGCAAAGAATATTAGATTAATACACTTAAAAAAAAAAACTTCGGGAAATACTGTAAAACTGTAGCACTGGAAGCAAAGAATCATAATGAATTGTCAGTTTTATTGGTTGTGGTTTTATGCATATCTCTGTACATAACATTCTGTTATCTCTTTGGTTAATGCAAGCAGTGTCCTAAATATTTGTAAGTCTTTTTTGCTCTGACAAAGGCTAAAGATGAATATTCGTCAGCTTCTTAAGCTGTAAGGCAGCAAGTATTCCATCCCTGATAAATTAATGAAAAACATTAGTAAGCAATTCCTGAGTTAAAGGAAGCTGAACCATCTTGTTAGACAGAAATTCTTAGTATTTAAGTGTCTATCTGCACTACCTTTTTCTTCATCAGGTTTCCAATGGCTATAATTTCATGCTAACACACCATTTGTAATTGCTCAGTTACAAATGTTTTTAGTACAAGGAGCTATGTAAATAATAAAACTTGGAAAAAATTGGCTTTCATTTAAGTAAGCCCATTGCAAGTTCTTTGAGTGAAGAATGTTTACAGAAAATTGTAACACAGTAGGTTTAGTTTCAAGAGCCTGCAGGTTTTTTGGGTACCAAAACAATCTTAGATAGCATTTCTTTTTTAACTGAGATATGAACTTGCTTTCAGAGATTGAGACTCTGCTATGAGAAAACTTCTTTAAAGGTTGGGGGGTTGGAAACTGGAGAAAATGTAGGTTGCATGTTGTTCTTGCAAATCTTATATATACACACACATGGTGTTGCTTTAAATATTGAATGCTGCTTGTCTATTTTATAATCACAAAGTGTCCCTGTGAAGTGATACAAGTGGTAACTGGTGCTTTGGGTCAAGAGAAGAAACAATGGGAAGTCCTGAAAGTAAAGAATGAAAATTAAGTTCTCTGCTAATTTACATGAGAACATTTTAATTTGCTATTATAAATAGAATCAGAACATTAGCCAATTAGAGAAATACTGCAAAAGTCAGTCTCAGTTTTCTCAAAAGTTGCTGGTGAAGGGCTTTGAAAGTTTGTTTGTTTGTTTTTATTCTCTTGTGTATGTTAATTATGTTTTCTGTCAAAGTTTCTGTTGATTTGCCTGATACAGAGATGTTCAGGCTTAGCAGTCTGTACTTATCTGTATCTCTTGTGGAACCATAGATGTCTTATTTGCCACTTTGCAGTCCTACAGCAGCTTTAAGCCAGGGATACGCACGCCATATTGTGCACAACTATTTCATAATGAGTCCCTTTAGTACTCTTGATTACTGATTTCACAGCAATTTTGTACCTGTTATCAGTTGGCTGTCAACAGCTCAGCAATGACATCTGATTCTGGTTTGTGGACTTTCTAATATTCACAAAGTGTTTGGATTTTGTGATGGCAGTTCAGAGGCATTTGCCTTTTTCTCATTGTTCTGACAACTGTCCAAGTCCCAGTGGGGCACTTCACTTGCTTTTTTTCTCTGTTACTCAGGCCATGTCTTGCAGCTCAGAAAAATGCCTGTTTTCTAGACTTCTAATGACAGTTGGGACACTCAACCTACTAATATATTTTTTTCTGCAGTCTGACAAACATGGAGTACAAAAGACTCCAGAATCTTTAAACTTAATAACTTTTAGTAGTAGTCTTTATTTAACTTGAATTTTATTTAAGTCAAATTTAAAATTTAACACTTGACAAATTTGCTTGCATCCTTGATCTTAAAAACTTTAACAAAGGCTTGTATTAATTGATATCCCCAGTAACAAGTGATAGGACGAGAGAAAACGGCCTCAAGCTGCGCCAGGGGAGGTTTAGGTTGGATATTAGAAAAAACTTCTTCACAGAAAGGGTAGTCAGGCATTGAAACAGGCTGCCCAGGGAAGTGGTTGAGTCTCCATCCCTGGAGGTATTTAAAAGAAGGGTAGACGTGGTGCTTGAGGACATGGTTTAGTGGTGGACTCAGCAGTGCTAGGTTAACGGTTGGACTCGATGATCTTAAGGGTCTTTTCCAATCTTAACGATTCTATGATTCTATATACTGTGATCTGGGTCACTGTCAGAGTGAGGAATAGAATATATATTAAAATATTCAGCCTGTGCCTGAAGCGGCTTTTACAGACCTCTGGATTGCATGGATTCAGGAGTAAGAGCGTGAGGTTAAATTAACTTACATACCTGGAGCCTGATTCCATTTCCTTGAACACGTAGTGGCACTGGAACAGGAGGAGATTTTGTTTTCTTCCTTTGGACCATTAAGCTTAAATCAGCCATTAAGATCAGATGGCCTTCCTTTTTTTTTTTTTTTTTTGTACTTAATGGTTTAGCTTAAAATGTGAATGTTTTGTTTATGACAAGTTTATCTTTACCCTAGTCTTTTTTATATGGCATTTTGAAAATACATAGATTTTAAATCAGGCAGTGGAAACCTTTGGATAAAATGTTTTCTTGTAATCTTGTTTTTCTTCTTCATGTGGTTTATAGCAATACAGCTTGTTTAATTTTCTTTCTTTTTCACAGTTTCTGGCAGATATGGAGAATAACGCACTCTTTAGGGATGACATTGAATGTCAAAAACTCATTATGGAAGCAATGAAGTACCATCTGTTGCCAGAGAGACGACCTATGTTGCAAAGTCCTCGCACCAAACCTAGAAAATCTACAGTGGGCGTGTTGTTTGCAGTTGGAGGAATGGATGCAACAAAAGGTATTGGTTTATATAACGATTAGTTGATCAGCTGTTTTGGTTCTTTTTACAAGAAATGTTTGATAGATGTTTTTACAACATGTTAATTCTAAAATTCAAAGATTTTGCAGTATAGAACATGAAACATCTTAAATGTACACTCTTTATTAGGTTAAAAAACCTAGCTTTGATAATACTGTAAACATTCTAGAAGCTAGAGTTATGACTGATTTTAAATAATCAAGGGAATATCTGATTTCTGAGTAGTGAAATATTGAACTGAGTGAAAACTAATCCTTATTTACTTGAGTGGGAAGTAATTTGGAAAAGGAAGAAAATGACAGAAAGGGCACAAAGGTGACCGGCACATATATAAAAAAAACAAAAAAAACCCCAACCTTTTTGATTAATTGTTTAAATGGTTCTGTCAGAGCTACTTGGATTTTCTTTTTTATAGACACTTCCATACTGTTTAATGGTAGTTAAAAGGAATCTGGCAAGTTAGAAAAGTTACGGCAGAGAAAGTGTTTTCTTTCGCTTGTTTTAAAGTTAGCACTTTTAGTACTTCATGTCACATAGCTTCAGATTTTTTTTCTAATATTACAAACGATTGCAATATATAATTGCATTTCACAAGGGTTGCTATATATTCCTAACATTTGTATTTCTGAAGGGTTGATTCTGCAAAGCAGTTAGTAATCCTGCTTTTTGTCTTGAAAAGCCCTGAGAAAGTCCTCCTTTGTAATGGTACAGTTAATTCCTGAGGAAGTCAAAAAAGACTATTTGTATACATAGAATTAAGAACATGCTGCAGGATGTCATGCTGTCTTGTGGGATCAGCACAGTGCTGAAATAAAAACTATCCTAATTCAGACCCTTTTTTTTTTTTTTTAATAACTTGCATATGTTGTCATTCAGGAGCTACAAGCATTGAAAAGTATGAACTTCGTACCAACATGTGGACTCCTGTTGCAAACATGAATGGACGAAGATTACAGTTTGGAGTTGCAGTCTTAGATGATAAACTGTATGTTGTTGGTGGCAGAGATGGACTGAAAACATTGAATACTGTGGAGTGCTACAACCCTAGAACAAAAACTTGGAGTGTAATGCCGCCTATGTCCACTCATCGTCATGGTCTTGGTATGTAGAGTTCTGTAAAGGCTGAATGCATATTTTTAAAAGGTTATGTGTTTTAGGATTGGTCAAAACACATTCAGAAATTAAGTTTATGGGGGTGGAAACTTTGTTTTAATGCCAGCTGCTTATTGAATGTCTTTTCTCCTTCAGATTATATCTCGCATTGGCTACCAAGAGGAAATTTCTTTTTATTTGTTTTTAAATATTTTGTGGTGCACACTGGACTGTCACTAGGAAAATGTGATCTTTTTTTCCCCTTATCCAGAAGCAATTGTTTTTCATGTCTGTTTTTTTAGGAGTAGCTGTATTGGAAGGTCCCATGTATGCTGTAGGAGGACATGATGGCTGGAGCTACCTGAATACAGTAGAAAGATGGGATCCACAGGCTCGTCAGTGGAACTTTGTAGCTAGTATGTCAACTCCAAGAAGCACTGTTGGTGTAGCAATATTAAATGGAAAGTATGTGACGGCAACTTCAGTTTTCTCTCATTATTTTAATGTAATTATAGGACCATCCTAAATGACTATTAATAATTTCTCTTGATAGACACCTGTTGATAGCATTAAGAACCAAGTTTCTTCATTCACAGAAAAGATACTGTATTGGGTCAAGCAAGCTTCCCTACAGCATCACGGTGCCCCTCAGTATTGCTTATGAGACACCATCTCTATGGGATAATAAGTAGTTACCATCTCCTTAATACAGAAAGGAGCAAATGGTTTTTCTCTTTCACTGAGACTCCAGTGATTTCCTCTTACTGTGATCATTTGAGCAATCAACTTCCAAAACTACTGTAAAGTTGTGGAGGAGTACTCATGTTATATTACATTAATTCAGAACAGTAAGCTCTGGCAGAATGAATCTAATCTGGAGTGGTATCTGAAATTTCTACAGCTGTTTTCCAGTGAAAATATGCCTAATTCCTAATACAAAGCATGTTCAGACAACTAGGTCATTTTATGTTGCAGTCACAGGAAATGGCTGGAAGTGACCTCAAGGAGTTCCCTAATCCATTCTGCTACCCCAAAGCTGAACTAATTATATCTAAAACACTCATAGCCAGAGTGATCTTGTTCTTAACCTCCGGTGGTAAAGTTTCCGTAACTTCCCTAAGTAATCTGCATAACTATTAATACATCTGTGAAGTTCTCCTCATGTCAAGTCTTAAATACCTCCTCATGTCAAGTCTTAAATAACTTTTGCTGATTTGTATTGTTATTGTTTGTACTACCCAAAGCGAACACGGAAAATGCATCTTTCCTATTTGCAGCAGCCTTTTGTATTTAAAGACACATGTCCCCTCAGTATTCTGTCATCGGGACTGAATAACTTCAGCTCCTTCAGTCTGTATTTGTAGGCCATGACTCCTAGACTTTGAGTGATTTTCATTGTTTTCCTTTGAACTAAGTGTAATTGTTCTATAGCATCCCAAAATAGAAGTGGTACTCGAATCAAGCTATTACGAAAATTAAGATCAGTTGCAATCACAGAATCATAGAATAATTTGGATTGGAAGGGGCCTCTGGAGTCATCTGATCCAACACCAACTCAAAGCAGGGCCAACCTTAAAGTTGGATCTAGTTTCAAAGTTAACTGAGGTAGCTCAGGTCATATCTGAGTTTTGAATATCTCCAAGGATGGAGGTTCAACAGCCTCTGGGCAACCTGCTCCAATGTTTGACCACTGTTGAACTGAACATTTTTCTTCTAATATCCAATTGAATTTTCCCATGTTTGAATTTGTCTCCTCTTCTTCCTCCTCTAACTGCATACCTCTGAGAATGGTCTGTCTTCTATATAACCTCCCATTAGGTGGCTGAAGACAGCAGTAAGATGCCTCCTTAGCTGTCTCAAGAATTCTTGAGAATTGACTGCACAAAGGCAGCTCTCAGCCTCTCCTCATATGTCATGTGTTGTAGCTCCCTCATCATCTTAGTGACCATCAGCTGGACTTGCTCCGGTATGGCTAGATCTTTCTTGTACTAAGACCCCAAAGCTGGACACAGTATTCAGAAGCAGTCTTATATGTACTGTATAAAGGGGATCAGCTGTCATTACTTCAAGGGCATACTGCTGATTTCTTGCTGCCAGGACTTCCAAGTCTATTTTTGCTAAGCTGCCTCCTCTCCTGTCAGCTCCCAGCTGGTACTACTGCATGGGAATATGCCATCCCAGCTACAGGACTTTGCATTTGCCTTTGCTGAACTTCATGAGACTACAGTCAGCCCATTTTTCCAGCCTGTCTAGGTCTCTCTGAATAGTAACCAAGCCCTCCAGCATATCAGCAACTCCCCTTAATTTGATATTATCAGTAAACTTGCTAAGGCTGATTTCCGTTACGTCTTTCAGATAATTAATGAAGACGTTGAGCAGTATCAGCCACAGTATCAGCCTGGGAGGAGCACCACTAGTAACCAGCTGCCAGCTGGACTTCATACTGCTGATGACAGCCCTTTGAGCCCAATAGTCCTTCCAGTTTTCCACCAGCCTTGTAGTGGGCTTTATCCAAGCCATTTTTTGCCAGGGTGGCTACAGGAATACCATAGTAGACAAAGCTAACCTGATTTGCTGAGTAGTATTGTGGTTGTGGCAAAATGTTTACACTCTCTTGACCACAGATTTTCACTTCCTGCTTATGTACTGTCTGATGTATCTCCCTTGATCTGTTTGAATATTGTAAGATAGCAAAAAGCTTTTCACAGGTGTTTTTTTTTTTCCTTTGGAAGGTTAGTCTCCTGCTAAATTAGTACAGCTGAAATGCACCTGCAAAGGGTCCTGTGAGATCTGGAACAAGTCCAGGAATGAGTGGAAATGCTCACTGGGTGCAGGAAGGAGGGAAGAACTTGAACAACCAGCAAGCAGAGTGCCTTGGGCTGCCTTGGAACTGCAGTCTCAGATGCCTAAGTTAGGTCTGAAGCTTCTTATATATTCAGCAGAGGGTCACAGGTGTGTGAAAAGCACCACAATTAGAGCCTCACATTTCTCTATTATTATAGAACATTCCCTAGACTCTTAATGTAGGCAGCAACACTAGATGCCTGTAGCTAAAAAGCTTAGAAGTGCATGCAGAATTTCAGCTGAGGGAGCAGTAATTTCTGCACTTTCTAGTAATATCTTTCTGTAACTTGATATAGTTCAGATTATTTGCTCAAAACCTTCATATAGAGAAATTAATATATCTTCCTCCATGTCCAAAATGTGAAATAGCTGCATAAGTGATCAAAACTGCTGTCATGTTTTGGCGGGAGGTAATGTGGGGGACTTCATTTAAATGCTATGTTGCATAACAGACTGATTCTTAGTCATGAACTTCTTGGAACTGCAACAGGATTTTTCAATATCCGTCAGTACATTCCTTTCCTTAAACAAGTTGTGTTATTAAACATGGGAACTTCCATGGAAATGTATTTTTTAAAAAGGGTATTAAAATTATTACTGAGAACTACTAGGTCAACCACATTTAAAAGATGTTTGTATTTAAGTTTGTTGGTCACTATATTTTAAAAAACAAGCAACAGTGTTTCCAAAACTGAGTACATCTTGAATAGTGCTTCATAGTAACTGTTTTAAATTGTTCACACTATCATCACATATGGTATCTAATGTTTATTTGATTATTTAACCATACTATAATGTGCCTTATGCTATGAAAGGATTTCATTAATGATATTTCAGGTGACCTCTCAAACCGGACTTTACTTCTGATGCGTTGCTTCCTTTTTAGAATGGCTTCTGCGTTCCTACCTTTCCAGATAATAGTGCTGGGCATTTCTGGTTCTAAGCATAGATCGCTCATAAACTCTGTGCATAAACTCTTTATCAAGTTTGATTATTTGATTAGTTTTAAAGATTCGGCAGTGAGTGCTCCTAAAACCTATCTTTCAGAGTGCTCTGAAACCAATTCATCAGAGTGCTCCTAAACCCAATCTTTTCCTTCTAGCCTATCCAAAAAGTTGAAATCCTTTGTTAATACCAAATGCTATAAACCTTTTTGTTAGAACTGAGCAAACTAGGCCACCTAGTGGGTGTGAAAGACTTAACGTAGCGCTGTCATTCATAACCTAAAGCCCAGGTCCAGAAAAATACTTGAATGCTTAAGATGAGGCAGGGCAGAGTTGTTGCACGCACAGATCCACTACTGAATTTGTCCCTCTGACCCTACTACAAATGGGACTTTGTCTGTCAAGTCACATAAGTAATTTTGAAAATGTTAGCTATGTGCATGGGTTGGAACATAAATGCTGTGTTATAGATATCAATTTTCTGTAAATTCTTGTTATTACGTGTTCATCATGACAATAGGAAAAGATTGGAGCAAAATCTTACCTGAATTTTCACGACAGAACATTCTGTTGAAAGCTGAAAGTCTCCTTCTAAACTTCCCTTTTTAACAAACTTGAAAGTCCTTCATACATCACTGGAAACTTCGTCTTGTTCGGACAGTATTTATTTACTTTTTTTCTTAACTTTGTAGGCTTTATGCAGTTGGTGGTCGAGATGGAAGTTCTTGTCTTAAGTCAGTAGAATGTTTTGATCCTCATACAAACAAATGGACCCTCTGTGCTCAGATGTCAAAAAGAAGAGGTGGTGTAGGTGTAACCACCTGGAACGGGTTCTTGTATGCAATAGGTGGTCACGATGCCCCAGCATCAAACTTAACATCCAGGCTGTCAGACTGCGTAGAAAGGTAATATCCTGATGAAGGCATATCCTGCTAGTAATTCTAATAGTGCTATTCTATAGAGTGATTTATGGAAAGAGCTGTAAGTAGAAACCCAATAAAACAGCCGTGTTATTTTTAGCATGAGCAGAGGAAACTTAAGTATAAAAACATACTGTGCAGTCATAATATGATTCAAAATGTTGCCAAGACAGATTACTTAAAGTGAATTCTCCCTAATGCACTTCATCTAGAATTTTTTTTTTCCTAATAATCTCATTGAATGAATTATGATTGATTACTGAGAGCAACTTGGAATTGAATGCTTTTAAAAATGGAGCAGAACTTCTCTCACACTAGAAGTCTGTATCAGTTCATGTTATAACTTTTAAAGGAGTTAACAGTCAGGGTTTGTGGATCCTTAAATATCCTGTTCTTTCTTGTACCCCATGATGAGACTGGGAAACTGGCATGTAATTCAGTCATTCCAAAGTTGGTATGTCTTTACATAAAGTTGTTAATGAATGACTGTATTACAAATTGCAGAAACACGTGTGATCCGTAAAATAATTAAAAATTACAGTAAATACCTCATAATGCACTGCATTAAGTCTTCGCTGGCATTTCAAATATTTCTGAAATATGCTTCAATTCTCTTCCCCCCTCCCCAAATTGTAAATGGTAATCTTCCATTGCGAGTAACTCTCTTTAGTACCACACTCAACTTTAACAGCCTGTGCTTTGATGTGTAGTAGTTATCACTTAGAGCAAGCACTTGCTCTACTACAGTGTAGCAGCAGAACTGTTTCTGGAGTGGTACATTTAGACATACAATAAGAAATGTAGTCAGAGCAGCTGTATGTATATGTATGCATTACTATATGGAAAGCAGCACAAAGTAGATACATAGCTAGTACTGACTGTGTTAGCAGATGACTAAAGAAACATTTTCAAAGAGAGTATTTGGGGGGAAAAAGTCCTTTGAAATGAACACCCAAATCTGTGCTGTCCTAATAATACCTGTTTTCTACTACCTCGAGCGTGTCAGTTTCAGTATGTTTTTTCTATTGAGTTTTGGCAACAGTTTTAGAGCATAACACAAATTATCTTTTAGGTATGATCCAAAAACAGATGTGTGGACTGCTGTGGCCTCTATGAGCATTAGCAGAGATGCAGTGGGAGTATGTCTTCTCGGTGACAAGTTGTATGCTGTTGGAGGATATGATGGTCAAACATACCTTAATACTGTGGAGTCTTATGACCCCCAGACAAATGAATGGACACAGGTATAGTTTCTGATTAGACCATACACTACTATTTATCTTGTTATTTCAAGTGTGCCTTTTTTTACAAGGAGACTTCAAATACTCCTCCTCTAAGAAGCACTTTCTTACTAGTCCGTTGTCTCTTTTTTTTTTCTTTGTCTACCATCTCAAGATGATTTATCTTGAACAGACAGTTGTTAACTTCTAATAAACTGCCCTTTCTTTGGCAAGAGTATAGTTGTTTTATTTGACAATTTCAGCTACTGTTAATAAAATGTATTGACATGTCCCCCAAAATGTCTCAAATACTCCTCCTCTAAGAAGCACTTTCTTACTAGTCCGTTGTCTCTTTTTTTTTCTTTGTCTACCATCTCAAGATGATTTATCTTGAACAGACAGTTGTTAACTTCTAATAAACTGCCCTTTCTTTGGCAAGAGTATAGTTGTTTTATTTGACAATTTCAGCTACTGTTAATAAAATGTATTGACATGTCCCCCAAAATGTCATAAAGGGTTCTGTTTACATGACTTCCTATTCTGAAAGTATATGATAAATTTAGATTAGTTTTAGCTCTAATGTGTCCTTCAGCAAGTTTGTCAATTTCTTCAAGGTTTTGGTCATCTTTTTATAAATAATCCCTTCCTGATGTGAACGCTATGTACAGTGTGTGCAACTTTCAGGAAGCCTTTTCCCATTTCTCTTCACCCAGCTCAAAAAAATTCACGATTGGAAACATTACTGTCAATTCAAAGCTTGGTTACTTTTACTTTTTTATAGCTCCAGGAATAATGTGCCTCTCTGTGGGAAGAACACACTCAAGGACATCCTGGGCAGGCTGTCCTTTGGTATCTACTGCCATTTGAGACACCCTAAAGCATGTACATCCACCGAAAGTGGCAGATACAGCACAGAATCTATGGGAGACCAAGGCCCTTCTGGAGTCCAGTTGCAGGCCAGGATGACTGTCCAAGGTCATCTAGAATAGCATTAGACACCAGTATTTAGGCAGCTGAACTCTGACCTCCTGAATATGCTATCCCAGTAATAGCCTCAAATTGCTAATTCAAAAGGAGAACTGAACTGCTCTGTCAATCTTTAACACAGAAAACTCAGCTGTCTGTTTCCCCCCACCTCATACTGCTGCAAGATCTTGAAACAGAAGTCATCTAGGAGGCTCATCAGAGCTTGAGGCCTTCAGTGGCAGTACTGGTAATGACAACCCATGGCATTATTTGTCCTGCTAAAGAAAAAAAAGGGTACCAGAGGAGAGAAACAGTGCTTCTCACCATTGCATCTAAATGAATCTCGCATGATGTGTAGGTGGTGAGCATGTGTATATACCTTTGTATCCTTAGCCTTGACCCTCCATATCTCACTGAATCCCATGATCCCAGTATATAGGACAGTTTTGAGCCCTTCCTAGAGGGATTTGGAAGTGTCTGTACCTTCCTTCTTTCTTGCTTTGTCAGCAGTCTGCCACCACTTCATCCATGCACAACTCAAAAGAGGGCAGTGGAATTTTCTCAACTGAAGTTTGTCAGAGCCACAGACAGTTCAGGATAAATCTGTTGTTCCTAGGAAAAAAGAAATAGGGGAGTTGGCATAAACACCCTTTTTTGTCTTCAGGATAATCTCTCTAACAGTTAGTGTGCTATTCACACACGCTCCAATACTATGCAATTTAAAAGGGGAAGCTAAGGTATTAGAAACTACCTTCCTCTTTTCAAGTCCAACAGAATCTCAGCAGAAAAAGGTCTTGCTAGAAGTAACTTCTGTTTACAAAAAAAGAATAGAGACTGGGAAATGATTCTGATTTCAAGAACTCTTAACAGGATTTTATCAAATATTCAAGTAAAAAGGAGAGGTTGCCCCTCCTTTTTGCCCCAAATCACGTTTGGCATTTTCTGTTTGACAGAAAAAGGCATCATTTTGCCAAAAAAAGGATTCTTTTTCCTGTAATACCTAGTAATTGAAATGATCAATAAGAATTGTTTCATATTCTTGGGATTTGCTATTGCTTTCAAAGTGCTTCACTCTATCATATAAAATATCTTCACCTTTTCTGTGGGTTTTTATCCAAGTTTTGGACCAATTTGCTGTATTTTTTAAGTCATGTTAACAGTATGTGGGTGATATTCCCACTCTGCTGCAGCTGTGTAACTATTATTACAAGCATTAACTAAACACTATCAGTTTTAGGAAAAAAAAATACTTAAAGCTGACTGCATTTATCTCATGGAATTTTTTTTTTTTTTTTTGCTTATAGGTTGCACCATTGTGCTTAGGAAGAGCTGGAGCATGTGTTGTGACTGTAAAACTGTAAATTGAAGGTGACATTCTCCTCTGTAGACTCAAGACGATTTCTTTTTTCCTCAAGCAAACTACCAGCGCACCAATAAACACAAGGTGCAGGATATCTACCACGGCAAAGTGTTTGGTCTCGAGCTAACATGTACATGTTGTTCTTACGGACCAATATTAAGCACTTTTTAAAAAGTCATCTTTGTTACTCATATGTTACAAGAATTCTATTTGTAAGAAAATCAGCCGCAACCAGCCAGTTACCAGCAGAGGACTTCTGTTTCGGAAGTGCTAAGAAATGAGTATAATCATCAGTGAACTCACAATAATAATCAAATGTTACAGATCTAGGGCCTTGATCCCCCAAACGTGCAGAGGAATGATGCTCTAAATGGATACACTTTGAGTCTATCTCTGGGTGAAACAAGTTACAGGATTGGACCCCATATATTTAATTTGCCTATAATAAACATGTTTGGCTATAGGTATCTAAGCTATTACAATGCAGCCTGAGAAACCAATGCAAACCGTTGTAAATGGCAGGCGTAATGCCTGCCTTGGAAATGAAGTTGTGTATATGGTGAATCTTTTGCACTTTTATCATCATTTCTAGTTTAGCAAACTTTTTATTTAACCAAAGCCTTATTTTAAATATTGTCTTATTATGCTAACAGAAATCTGCTATTTAATAATTTCTGCCAGAGATTTTTGACATCCAGTGTACTTTTTGGATTTTCGAAGTTTTTACGTGAGATGCAGAACATCGTACCTTTTTCTCTACTTTGGTTCTTATATTTACTTTGCTATTTTTAAAGAAAAATCTATAAGCATGAGTTATTGGAAGAATTCTGAAGTGTGAGTAAAAGTTAACCAATGTAAGTTTAAGATTTGCACTTTGGAATTTTTGAAGCATTCCATTACATCTAGACTAATTACATTTTTTTACATGAGGCTTTGCACTAATTTGAAAAGTATAATTTTATAAGACGAAATGCAACGACTGTCTGTCTTTCCAGTAAGGTTACTTGAAAATGTGAAGGGCCCAGTCCTGCAAGATGCTTAACTGCCACCGTTTAAGCATGTTCAGCATCTTACAGGAGAGTTGTGTGTGTCTCGCAGGATTATATCAAATTAAGTTACCTTATTTAACAGTTATCTAATTTTTTCAGATACTTCATAATTTGCCTTTCTTGAGCCCTGTGCTGTTACACAGAATTGCTTTGAATGGTCTGAATGTTCTCGGAAAGTCTTTTTGTGTTTGCTTTTCTGTGCCTTGTTCCTTATGTTTTCAAACCAGCGGGTAATAACGTGCGTGGTTGTAACGGATGAGCTCATCGAATGTTTTTCGACAGTTTGAAGTGTCTGATACCCAAAGTCTTTATACATTTGTAATTTTAAATGTGTTAATGCTCTCAGTGAACTATTTATTGTTTTAAAAGAAATTACTAAGCAGTGAAACTTTGTGCTGAAACCTGCACTGTTTGCAATTGAATACAGCTAAACTCAAATGCAGCGTTGCCGGGTTAGTGCCTTTTTTTCTCTAGCTTACAGTCCACTTTGTGTACTGCTAGGTCCGCGACCTAGCAGGTCTCATTAAGAAATGCTATTTTTACTGCTCCTCTTGTTGGACTTTGGCTGTAGAAAGACCCTTGTCCTTGCACTACTTCAAACGCCGCTCTGCTGTGGAGGCCCTGGCCTTACACAGGCCCCGCCCCTCCCGTTGCGGCCTGGCGCCGCGGGCGCGCCTCCCCATTGGCTGCGGGGCGGGGGCCCCCCCCCCCGGCGGGGGCGCGGCCCTCCCCG